TTCTTATCATGAATAAGTGTTGGACCTTATCGAAGGCTTTTTCTGCATCTATAGAAATGATCATGTGATTCTTATTTTTGGCTTTATTGATATGGTGGATTACATTTATTGATTTGCATATGTTGAACCATCCTTGCATTCCTGGGATGAATCCCACTTGGTCATGGTGTATAATCTTCTTGATGATTTGCTGGATCCTATTTGCCAATATTTTATTGAGGATTTTTGCATCTGTGTTCATTAGGGAGATCGGTCTATAGTTCTCTTTTATAGTTGGGTCTTTCTCAGGTTTTGGTACTAGAGTAATATTTGCTTCCAGGAATGACTTAGGAAGGATTGCTTCCCTTTCAATTTCATTGAATAGTTTGAGGAGTGTCGGCATTAGGTCTTCTTTATATTTCTTGTAGAATTCTGCAGTGAATCCATCTGGGCCTGGGCTCTTCTTGGTGGGTAAGGCCTTAATTACATTTTCAAGTTCATTAGCAGAGATTGGGTTATTCAACAGTTTTATATCCTCTTGATCTAGCTTTGGTACTTCATATGCTTCTAAGAATCTGTCTATTTCTTCTGTGTTATCAAACTTTTGAGAGTAGAGGTTTTCGAAATAGGTGTTGATGATCCTCTGTATTTCTATTGGGTCTGTAGTGATTTCTCCTTTTTCATTTCTTATTGCATGAATTTGAGCTTTTTCTTCCCTTTTTTAAATAAGGTTGGCTAGGGGCTTATCAATTTTATTTATTCTTTCAAAGAACCAACTCTTTGATTCGTTGATTCTTTGGATTGTTTTCTTAGTCTCTATTGCATTGATTTCTGCTCTGATTTTTATAATTTCCTCTCTTCTTTTGGATTTGGGCTTGCCTTGCTCTTCTTTTTCTAGCTGTTTGAGGTGTAGCATCAAGTTATTTATTTATATTCATTCTGTTTTCCTGATGTGGGAACTCAGTGCAATAAATTTTCCTCTCAGAACGGCTTTCATTGCATCCCACAGATTCCGGTAAGTTGTATCTGCATTTTCATTTTCTTTTAGGTATTGTTTAATTTCTTCTTTAATTTCTTCTGTGACCCACTGATTACTCAAGAGTGTGCTATTTAGTTTCCATGTGTTTGCGGAATTTTTGCAGTATCCTTTGTCATTAATTTCTAATTTCAGAGCGCTATGATCCGACAATATGCAAGGGATGATTTCAACTCTTTTGCATTTGCTTAAATATGTTCTGTGAGCTAATATATGGTCTATTTTAGAAAATGATCCATGTACTGCTGAGAAGAATGTGTATTCTGATGTTGTTGGGTGGAACATTCTGTATATGTCTATCAAACCCATTTGTTCACAGGTGTGATTCAGTTCTGTTATTTCTTTGCTCATTTTCTGTCTGGTTGATCTGTCCCTTGGTGTCAGTGGTGTATTAAGGTCTCCTGTTACAATTGTGTTACTGATAATTTGAGTTTTCATTTCTGTTAATAATTGTTTTATATAACTGGGTGCTCTGGAGTTTGGTGCATATATATTTAAGATAGTTATCTCTTCCTCTTGGAGTTTTCCCCTTACGAGTATGTAGTGACCTTCTTTGTCCTTTATGGTCATTGTTGGTTTAAAGTTCACGTTGTCTGCAAACAGAATGGCTACTCCTGCCTTTTTTTGGATTCCTGCTGCATGAAGAATTGTTTTCCATCCTTTGACTTTCAGTCTGTGAGTATCTTTCTGGGTTAGATGGGTTTCCTGTAAACAGCATATGGTTGGATTTTGTTTCTTGATCCATTCTGCTAGTCTGTTTCTTTTGATTGGTGCATTGAGACCATTTACATTAATGGTTATTACTGTATAATGCTGGTTAATTGTAGGAATGTTGTCTCTCTGCTGTTGCATCTTTATCTTTTGGTTCTGTTTAATTATTTGCTTTGCTTAGTGGTTTTTTCCTTTGTGTATCTAAACTGTCTTTCCATATTTTTTGTAGGGTTGGTTTGGTGTTCATGAAGTTCTTCAGCTGTTCTTTGTCATGGAAGTATCGTATTGCACCATCTATTTTGAATGATAGTTTTGCAGGATATATCAGTCTTGGTTGGAAATCATTTTGCTTTAGGATCTGGAATACTTCACTCCATGCTCTTCTTGACTTCATCGTTTGTGCTGAGAAGTCTGCTGTGATTCTGATAGGTTTTCCTTTATAAGTGATTTGTCTTTTCTCTCTGACAGCTTTTAATAATCTATTCTTGTGTTGGATTTCTGGGATGGTGACTATTATATGTCTGGGTGTAGTTTTATTTTGGTTATGACTGTTTGGAGTTCTATATGCTTCACTGATCCTGATGTCAGTTTCTGATCTCATGCTTGGGAAATTTTCAGCTATTACTTCTCTAAATATCCTCCTGACATCCTTCATGTTGTCTCCCTCTCTTTCATTAATCCCTATCATTCTTATGTTATTCTTCTTTGCATCGTCTTGCAGTTGTTGAATTGTTGTTTCCTGGTTCCTTGTTATTTTCAAAAGATCTTTCCTTTCCTGTTCACTAGCTGCAATCCTGTCTTCAAGGTCTGAAATTCTATCTTCACTTTCATTAAGGCGGTTTTTAAAACTTTCAGTGGAGTTTTTTATTTCCTGTATATCTCTGTGCATCTGCATTATGTATTCTGTTTGTTTCTTATATTGCTCGTCTAGGGATTCTATCTTTTTGTTTAGTTCCTCCAATTTTTTATCTGTGTTTTCTTTAGATATATTTAGAATCTCTTTCATTTCTTTTATAATTTCTTCTTTTATCTGGGAGATTATTTCGAGTTTGAATTTCTTTAAAGCTTCCTGGAGTTGCTTGTCAATTTCAGTGGCTATTGTGTCCGATATATGAGGTGGATGGGATATATTTTCTTCTATATACATCACTCCTAGGGTTTCTTGAGATAGGCTGGAGGTTTGAGGTTGTAATTTGGTCTTTCGTTTTGTCATTTTCCTATATTTCTGTGTTTCAAGTGTTATTTGAAAGCTTCCTCAGGATCTGTTGAAAATCCCCTTCTATATTTGGAGCTACTGGGACTCTGGCGCAGCGCTACTCCAAGCCATTAGGCCTACAGAACCAGTGGCCCTCCTCTGCCTGCTCAGAACTCCGCAGTTCCAGACAAGCTGGGCCTCAGGGACACTGTGCACCCACCTGCCCCTTGGAAGCTCCACAGTTCTTCAATCGCAGCCGGGTTAGGGTACTCACCACAGGCCACAGTGCTTCAGGAACCTGTGGACCCTCCCTGGTTGCAGAGATATCCACAGTCCTCCAGACACGCAGAGAGGCCGGTGAGGGCACCCCAGATCTACCCAGCTCCTCCTCTGCAGACCTATGGCCAGGCGCGGCAGCTAAACAGGCTGGGCTAGGCTGGTAGTGTGGGCCAGCCCACCTATTGGGAGCTCAGCAGGTCTCCAAATGAAGCCTGGAATGGGGAGGCTGATGTGGAAGCCTCAAACCCACCTCTCTTCTTCACTGCACCTGGAAGCCTGAGGGAACTCCAGCAGTCTGGGCGCAGAAATCCAGAGTCCTCCAGACACGCAGAGAGGCCAGTGAGGGCACCCCAGATCTGCCCGGCTCCTCCTCTGCAGACCTATGGCCAGGCGCGGCAGCTAAACCTATACTTATTTTTTAAAAACAGCATTTTTCACTAACATTTGTGTTATTATTTGTGTACTATATTGGATGTTATGTATGTTTTGTTCTAGGAAACCAAATTCATGTTTCAAAATGTGGTGAAGTATATTAAGAACAAAGTATTCACTGGCCTAAATGAGATTTGAAGAGACATTATCTGTAGCCTATCAAAGTGATTGATGAGATTTTTTTTCTTTTTTTAAATTTTGAACGTGGTAAAATACAACAGAACAAGGCAGAATAAGGCCAACTAAGATCATACAGTGAAAATGGTACACAACTTCACAACTTGTTACTGCGATAACAGTAATAGGTATCACAGTACACTTTATTATCTTTATAATAGTTGTTCTTTTTTTTTTTTTTTTTTTTGTCTTTTTCCTTTTTATCGGTACCGGGGATCGAACCCACGACTGTCTGCTTGCAAGGCAGGTGCTTATGCCGCTGAGCTAAATCCCCAGCCCAAATAGTTGTTCTTTCAAACACATATATCAAAATGAGATGAAATACAGAACATTATAGTACTTATGAAAACAAAATATTGAATAGAGCAAAACAGTAATAAAAATATTTGCCTCCAAAGAGATAGTAGAAGGAAGGCCCCCTTATTTGTTATGGTCTGCTTCCCAGGAGACGCTCAGATTTCTGGTTCCCATTTGCTAACGGGGGGGGGGGGCGGGGGTGACAGGAGAAGAAGGGTAGGGAAGTGGGATGTTTGATTCTAGGCCGTACATCAGTAGGTTCACTACTGCTTAGTAGAGAGACAGGCCAGTTGTTTGATTTCACAGCGTCCTAAGTTCCCACATGGTGTGGATCTCAGGAGCTGCTGCTGGTTCTCCCCCTGGAAGGGCCGCATTCTGTGAGACCGCCACCACTTACCATGGAGAAGTGATGCTTGCTTGCCTTCCAAGTGTCCTAAATTGCAGCATGGCATCGATCTCAGGAGCTGCTGTTGGTTTCCCCCTTGATAGGCCACAGTCTGGCACATCATCACCACTTCCCAGGGAAGGGAGGTGCTTGTTTGGCTTCCCATTTGATTGATGGGATATTTATCTGCTTCTGTGCTTTGTGGATGCTGGTCCAACAGGCTTCTCACTGTGAGCTCTGCTTTAGAGACAGCACACAGGGAATATTGCAGTGACTCAGCACAAGAATCAGTGCTCCTATTTCACTCTTACATTAGCAGTGAGTTTCAATCTATCATCAAATTTGCTGTCTTCAAAAATGTGCATATACACAAAATTAATGACCAAGACATGGATTTAAATTTGAAGAAATCAGTCTTCATTCAGCTGTTTTGTTTGGTTGTATTTGTTTTAGTTTTGTTTTGTTTTATTGAGACAAGCTTTTTGTATGTATATCAGCTGGATTTGAACACCCTGTGGAGCCTAGAATTGCCCTGAACTCACTGAAACCATCCTGCCTCAGCATTTTGAGTGCTGGAATTATAGATATATACCACCACACTTTGCTTTTGATTCAGATTTGTAGGAGAGAATTTAAGATATCCCAAACCTGGTGTCTCAACCTTCGTGTGAGAAATATATGTATGATGTTTAGGAGGTGGTGACCTTGGAGCATGTGGTTGTGAACTTCAGCAATGAGGAGTGGACTTTGCTGAGTGTATCCCAAAAGAACCTCTACAGAGATGTGATGGGCGAAACCTTTAGGAACATGACTGCAATAGGTAAGGACAAAATACTTTTGTCATTCATGCTGTCAGAATATTGTATGTTGCTCATCAGTGCTGTTTCATTAAAAACAATGTGAAAATATTTTTAAAAATAGCTGAGACCTGGACACATTAAATCATAACTCTAAACAAAATCTATTAATCTGTGTATATTATTCTAATGGGTGCTGGTATTTGTATGTCTACAATTCAGGAGGACTTGGGGATATCCAGGAAGCTGAAAAAGAATGCAAAATTTACTGGAGATACTTAAGGTAATTTGCACTCATAAGAAGAAGGAATGTTCCTGAGTAATTAGTGAGTCAGCAGAAAAATGACCGCCAAAGAAATGAGGCACCATTCAATTTATTGTCAATAATATTCTCCGAAGATGTATAAGCTAGGGTATGTATAATGAGTGAATTAAATCATGAAAATGTATGTCATTGCATATAGATGTGTACGAAAGGCATACACTTTGAGTTATGACATTCTCCCTTCAGTTTTTCTACCCATATATGCATGTGAATACAACACATTCATTATCTAAAAATTACTAAGATTGCAATAGAATTTAAAATAAAACAGAGTGCTTGTGTTTCCAAGCCATGCTTTAAAGAATCAACCATTCTGACTAAAATTCTTAGAAGGCTGGTGGAATGTTAAGTGCACTCATTCTGAATATCAGTGTGCAGTTGTCTCTAGAAATTGATCCCCTCATACTTGTCCTGGATATATTTTTAAAAATTCAAAATCCGCATAAAATACTGATACATGCTTGCTCATATACAAAGCAGATCAAGTTATAATAGATCAGGAGTTGAAGAAGCTTAGCTATCTATCACTGGATTTGTGGAGAAGGAAAATGTTAATAGAGTCTCTGTGATTGTGCATTCTTGTAAATCAAGCACACTAGGAATCAGATTTTGCAGAATGGCAATTCACGTTCAAACTTCACAGCTTAATGATCAGCGAAAATGTCTTAAAACAGATTTAAAAAGCTATAGATTTTATGCTAATAGCTTTTGTTCGTTCCCAACATGGAAAAGAAAAAAAATGTGTTATATAATATCAAAAAATAAATAATATAATGTCATTTGCCATAAGAAATAGGTGGTTCTTTCTCCCATCAATTCGGTGAAATAGCTCAGCTATAAAACCTAAAAGGTCACAGGGTTTCTTTTAGATGAGAAACCAAAATATAAATTGTGGAATGAAATGAAAGAGAGTTGATAGGGAAAAGTAAGACTGACCATATGTAAAAGGGAACTACAGGTTAAGGACAGAAGGGAGATTGTGATGGGGAAACATATCAGAATAATCTGTATATGATACACATATGTACCCTTGCCCAAAGTGAAGCTAAAGATTCTGAATTTTAAAGTACCAACTTTTAAGATTTCCAAATGTGTAGCATCCTTTTGGGAATGGTTGTTTTCAACATATCTTACAAGTCCATTCTGTAGCTTCATGGTCTGAATTTCTTAGCAGGCATTAAAAGTAGAACTTGACATTAATGCAGTCATTAAACGGAGACCCATTTCACTGTGAATTGTTCTTTTTTAAATTTAATATAAGGAAAGATTAAACAAAACAAAATAAGTAGAAATAATACTACTTTCAAAGTGAAAATAAACAGTAAGAAATCGCAAGATGATGATTACATATGCTGCTCATAGAAATAGTTATGAAATACAAAAGTGAAACATACAAAGTGGGGATTCAAACAGCGAGACTGCAAGCAGTTTTGTTCAACTCTCCAACAAAAACTTAGTAATATGGTTATAAATCCTATATATGAATCCTGTATTTTTCTTTACAGAAATGACAAGCTAGGGAAATACTATGGACATACATCTTGGAATCAGTGTAAAGAAGTATTCCTTGGTACTGCAGAAGGTAATGTGAATGTGAAAGAAACAGAAACACACCACAATGTTCAGATCCATAAAAATATTGCAGTGGAGGGAAATCCTATGTATGCAATCAATGCGGGAAAGGTTGTACTATACATGGAATTTGTAAGAAACATGAAAGAATTCACAGAGGAAAGAGACCCTACATATGTAATCAGTGTGGGAAAGCATTTACAACACGTGCATATTGTCAAGTACATGAAAGTCTTCACTCCAGAGAAAAATGTCATGAATGTAAGCACTGTGAGAAAGCTTTCAGCACATGTACTTATTGTGTAATCCGTGAAAAACTTCACACTGGGCAGAAATTGCATATATGTAAGAAACGTGGGAAAGCTTTTAGCAGTAAAATTCATTTTCAAACACATGAAAATGTTCACACTGGAGAGAAACCCTATGTGTGTAAGCAATGTGGAAAAGGTTTCATCCAACCTGTAAGGAACATGAAAGAATTCACACTGGAGAGAAACCTTATGTATGTAAGCAATGTTGGAAAGCTTTTAAAACACAGGGAGATTGTAAGAAACATGAAAGAATTCACAATGGAGAGAAACCCCATGTATATCAGCAGTGTGGAAAAGGATTCACCAGATCTGGACATTGTAAGCAACATGAAACGTTTCCAAATGGGAACGTTTCTTCCACTGGGAAGAAACCATATGTATGTAAGAAATGTGGGAAAGCTTTTAACAGACATGCAAATTGTAAGGTTCATGAAAGAATTCACACTGGAGAGAAACCATATATTTGTAAGCAATGTGGGAAAGCTTTTATCACATGGGGCGATTGGAAGATACATGAAAGAATTCACACTGGATAGAAACCATATGTATGTAAGCAATGTGGAAAAGCTTTTATCACACATGCAAATTGTAAGGAACATGAACGTATTCACACTGGAGAGACACTCTGTATGTAAGCAATGTGGGAAAGCTTTTAAAACACAGGGAGATTGTTGGAAGCATGAAAGAATTCACATTGGAGAGAAACCCTATGTATGTAAGCAATGTGGGAAAGTTTTTACCCTACATGGACATTGTAAGCAATATGATTGTTTACACTCAAGATAAAACCAGTGTATATAGGCATCATGAGAATGGTTTCAGCACACGTACATATTGCATGATGCATGAAAATCTTCACACTGGGCAGAAAACTTACATATGTAAGGAATGAGGGAAAGGTTTCAGCAGAAATGCTCATTGTCCAATACATGAAAAATTTGCAGTGTTGAGAAACCCTGTGTATGTGAAGAATGTGGGAAAGCTTTCACCACACATGGATATTGTAAAATACATCCATGACTTCACACTGGTAAAGAAACCCTAAGTATATAACAATGTGGCAAAGCTTTTACCCCATACAGTCATTGCAAAACACATGAAAGAATTCACACTGGGAAGAACCACTGGCTATGTAAGCAAGTGCAGACACTTTCATCAGCCAGATTGTAAGTGAAATACGTGAAAAAACTCACAAAATAGATAAATCCTATGTGTTATGGGAATACTCTCAGCACACATGATCATTGTTACATATCTGAAAGAGCTCACTGGGCAAAGATCCTATGCGGGTTAACAATGTGAGAAATATGGCAATCCATGTTTCTTGTTAAATACATACAAAAAGAATCACTGTTCAGACAGTTTAGATCTAAGTTTACTTTAAAAATCCCAAGGAGACCTGAAGAAATAATCAATACAGAAGTTAGATGTCAATATTTCTTCACAAATATTCCACAAATGACAAATCTGAGGTGGAGCTCTACTCAATTTCATATGTTGTATGATTTTCAGGTAATTCCTTGTAACTCTCTAGATTTTTTAAAGTGTTTTTGTGCTTCAACATGGCATCTTGTAATTAAACATGCCAAACTGAAATGAGCTTTTCACTTTCAAATATGGATAGTGCCTGTGTACTTAATATTTTGTCTTTAAAACTTAAATTTCATATTTTTTGGTGAATTGTAATGTTTATTTAAAGATAAAAGTGTAGAAATAATACAGAATTTCAGAAAAATAAACAATAAGAAATCACTAGTTGATTAGTTTCGTATTGTCATCTTAGAAGTAGTTGTTCAAGTTACAAATTTAAAGCATACAAAGTGATATTCAATTAATGACACTGTCGACAGTTCACCTCAGTGATCCAACAAAAAGTTATTAATATGCCTATCTGTCCTACACACTTTTTTTAATAAAGAGGGTAAGATTAAACATGACAAAACAGAACAGAACAGTTCATTAGGAAACAAGATAAGGAAACACAGATTTCAAAGCAAGTCCACTGGAGATGTTCACTGTCTATCTTACTGTGTCTAGTTTTCTTCCAAATAGTTGTTCCCATCTTCACACATGTTGAATATACACCAAATATTATAAAACTAATCAAATAATTACAGGATGATGCAGGCTTTTTCGGTCTTCAAGACTGATTTTGGGGAAGTCGATAATGACTACCATAATGTCTCTCATTCTCTTTAGCTGTCTTTGTCTTTATGTGTGCTGAAATTGAACATGAGAGACTAGACTAATATCACTCTGAACAGTGAATAATAGTATCCTGAGAAGGAGAAAGGTGAGGAATTGCCTAAAAAAGGAAGGCAGTGCACATTGTTAAAAGTGTATCAGGATTTAAAAGCTACAGTAGTCTTGTTGCTCTGTTTAGTTTGGTTATATTTTGTTCTGGTCTGTCTACTCAGATTTGAGGGCACAGAGAGATAACAAAAAATAGCAGGTTATACCATGGTAACTGTCCTTAATTTCCATTAACTAAAACTGAATCCCTATATTACTTACATTGTCTTCTATGACTGATCTTCTTTGAAGCTGGTTTGTTTGAATGTTATTGGGCCGTGACTGATTTTATTCACATTTGGTATGCTTGCTGGTATCAAGTGTAAGAGTAGAGGCAACTACTCTAAAGAGGACAAGATGTAAAACGTATCAATTGGTGGGCTGTGGACTTAGCTCAGTGGCTTAAGCACCTGCCTGGCAAGTGTGAGGTCATGAGTTTGATCTCAAGTGCCAAAAAATTAAATAAATAAAAGATATCCATTCCAGGATTGATTATTTTTTAATTAAAGAGAAAAAAGAAATAAAAACAAAGGAGTCAAAGGGTACAAGTAATGCAGAATTTAAAGAAATATACAGTAAGAACTCACTAGTTAATAGGTTACATATTGTCATCTTAGAAACAGTTGTCCAAATTATAAAATTAAAGCATAGAAAGTGGACATTCATATAGTGAGATTGCAGAAAGTTATGTTCAGTGATCCAACAAAAGCTCAGTAATATGTTTTTCCATCCTACACACTCAAGCATGAAATTATATCCCTTACACCACCTTCCTTTCCTCTTTTTCACAATAACAATTACACTTTTTGAGTTTTTTTACTCCCACAATTGTTATTACATTTTTTGAAGAGAATAAATCTTAAGATGCCTAAACAAAACAGAGTCGGTTAGAACAGAAGGATGGGCGTAGTACATGATTCAAAAATAGAGTATCAGATGATCAAAAATGTTTACCATTGTGCCTCTTGCTATTTTTAAAAAGAGTTTCCTATATCATCAGGTATAATAGAATTGATCAAAACAGTACAGACCAAGACCAATAAAACTTAAACTGGGGACCTTACAAGATTTCAAAAGAAGAT